GACAAGTACAGTGCGAGAGCACTTTCTCTCCCCCCTCTTGAAGATTGGGCTGCCCACCAAAAGTGTACAGCTGCGCGGGTAGAATCTTCAACTTTCCTACATGTCAGGGTTAGTCAAGACTACCAAGTGTAATGAACTCCCCGCTGAATTTTAGCAGCTGCCTGTCGAAAGTTGTAGTCGGTGGCGAAATATCGCTGATGTGGCGCGTAAACAACGCCCAGGGTAGACCGTGTTGATGTCCCAATAAATTATCGTTTTGCGCCGGGACGTGGGTGCGATCCTTCAAAATATGTTTTTATGAAGACAACTTTCTTCTTGTCTTGTAGTCGCGACTGCTGCTGCAGCATCAAATCACCCGAGTTGCTGCAGCATCTCCAGTTGTCAGCATCTGCAACCCTGAATTGCTGCCGTTTGTCATGTTCCTGCGGCGAAAATCCTCGCTGTAGCTTCTCGAGTTGTCAGTACCCCCGACAGTCTTGTCCGGACTCGCCGAGGTTTTTGTCGCTTTTCTCCGAAAACTACCGGGCAGAGTCGAAAAACACCTGCTGCTCCTCCCCCTGACCCCCGAAATATTTTTTCAAACTCGAACTTGAACTGCCGATGACGTCAGCTACCTCGGCGACGTTGTCGTGACTCGCCGAAAACCTCCGGGCAGGGGCGAAAACAGCTGTCGTCCCCTCCCTCCACCTGTTGCAAATTTTCACCTGTGTTGTCGCTGGTACCCCCGAACGGAGTCGGAATTAACTGCCAATCGTGTTCCCGTCGGTTTTGCGCGCTTAACCAAGCGCTTCTGCATCCCCGACGTTTCGAACGGAACTGCCGACCGTTGCCGCCGAACTCCGCTAAGACCCAGCTCCCAGTACTGCTGCTGAAACCCGTAAGTCTCGGTGCCGAAAATCCTCGTACGCTTGGTCAGCTGCAGGTTGTCCCCTTGAAGAACCGGTGTATCTAGCGTGCCCACCCGTCGCCACTCTCATCGCCTGTGGTTAACCACACTAGCAACCCACAAAAAAGGAGGCGCTTTTCCATGTGGAACCCAGAACAGTGGGTCTACCGGGACCGAATTTCACGGAACCTAGCCGCATCAACGCCGCAGATCTCGCTGTAGGATTTCCCCAGATGGCCTCGAAGTATACCGTAAAACTCTCAAACAGTTGGCGAGCAGACGTTCACCCGTCGCCCACCGTCGAAATTGCACCCGAAAATCATGGTTGCGGAATCAAGCCCCGAAGTATTCTCTGCCGTGTAGCCCCGACGTTTCCGCCATTAACCCTGGTACTCCGACGTTCACCCATCTTCGTACCCGTCGAAATTACTTAGCAAATCCCAGGCATCCTTGGCAATACACCCCTCGCCGCGCCTCCATGTAATAATATCAAACCCTTTCGGGTGTCTACCGAATAGACTCCGAAATTCGCGGTGGAGTGGTGTACGGGCTCAGCCTATCACTCAAGTAGCTTGAAGCGGCACCCACAACTTTCCCTCCTTTTTTTTAATTTTCACCCCCCGACAATTTCGCTTGCCGCCGTTCACCCAGCGTCCGCTTTTGTCGGATGAGGTATTCTCCGTGTTGACCCGCGATTTTTCTGGCGTTCGATGAAGGCGCGAACGCAATCGTAGTCGGAGCGAGTTTATCATATCAAACTCTCAGCCGGCCGCTTCGCTGCCCACCGTGCCTATCGCATTTAAAAACTCCGCAACTTCGGGAACTCCGTCTTCGCTGCTACACCTTCGTCGGGTAGACCGTTGAATCAGGAGAAACACCGCCAGCTGCCACAACTTCTTCAACCCCGACTTTTTCGGCGGAGTACTGTTGCCGATGGTCCGTTTTTGTCGGGGCCAAAACAGTGTCGCACCACGAAAAATTCTTGTACGCCCTGCTGTCGAACCAGCGCCACCCACGCCTTTCTAACCAGCACATGGCTAAAACACAGGGCCCCACCTTTTTATCCAGTGGCCATCAGGACTTACGAATTGCCTTAGAGACCTTTCTGGTGTGAGGTACGTGAAACGTTGGTAGACTTTGGCCGGTAGGGAGCTCCTTCTGCTACCGCCGCTTAGCCGTGAAACTCGGCCTCAGCAAAAAGTCGTCGCAATAGGTCGTTTTCTCCCCTCCTGAAGCTCGGAATCCGTTTCTCTCGCAAGACCCGTATTTGTCGCAACTCCGTTTATTGTAGCCGGTAGACCCGGGGAAATTCGCGGGTCTAGACGCTGCGCCAAACCGTTGTCCCGTCGGTGTACTGCCCTGTCTGCGGCGCAACTTCCCTTGATCAGGGGGAACCTGTGTCGCCTGAAGTACAGTGTCGGCTGCTGCTGTTGCTCCGAAAAATTCGGCCGACTTTGTTGCAGGCGCAGAAGTGACCCTAACGCGAACAGTCTAGTCGTAGGCGGCCTGTTCCGATCTTTTCGACGGATTGAAAATAACTTCCGTCCCACACTGTGCCGCTCCTGCCGAAAAACGCCCACGACGCACCCTCCTGCAGCAACACCTGCCACACCCGGGCGGGACGACGGTAGACCCCCGCTTTCTTCGGGCAGTCGCCACGCCGCCTCTCCTCGCCGTCGGTTTTTCTGACGCAAATCACACATTGCGCCTGGCTGCTCGCACAACAGTCGTTTTCCACGTGCTGCTACCCGAAGTCTTCGCGCACAGTGACGCCACGCCACTTGCCGAAGACCTCCAGCGGGCTCATGCGCAACGTGACGAAGACACTTCAACGCCACTTGCTGCATGCTGTCCACTCCGATGTTTTCGTGCGCAGTTGACGACCACGTGAAGAATGTCAACTCGTACCACGTTGCTTCCGACAATTTCGGACGTGCGCCGACGACGAGCCTGCCGACATCAGTCGTTACACAGAAATAACTCCGAAATTGACGAAAACCAGCACAGTTAACTCACGCATTAAATGCGACGACAGCAAAAGCTGTCCGCCACCCGGGGGGGAGGGAGGCCACGGTCCATCTCGACCGTCGAGGGTAAGGATCCGTCGGTGCCGCATGAGCGCCTTGAAATTCATGGCCGCTAGGAGCAACTACCCGTTCTCCTGGCCGGCTCTTGCGCTGCTCCTGTCACCACGGCATCCTTCCCTGTCCCCCCCCCGAGGGGTAAACACTCTAAAAAACGGGTGTCCTTGGAAAGTAGCTCTGATACCAAGTGTTATGAGTTGTACTAGACAGAGTGCGCGGAAGACTTTATAAAAAGGATGTCGAGTACAGAATGCCGATAATGATAAAGGAACAGGCATTTATAGGGTCGAAACCGTGCTAGGCGAGGACCTCGGGACGTGGATGGTTTGGAAGTGTCGCGATTGGTGCGGGGCGACTCGGCATTGGTTCGGTGCGGAAGTGTAGGCCGAGCCACCTGACGCGAAGTGCTCGGGCTGTACCCGTTAAGGCAAGGCTACAGTAAGGAATTGGTAAATTCCTTACATCGGAGATGTTTTGTTCACTTTGCGAAGCGAGAGCAGCAATGGATGGTAACACGCTATAGACTGTAACACAAGACAAAAAGAGTACCATGAAAAAACCTGTCATATCAAATTAACCCTGGTTTCCAGCCCAGGGAGTTCTTTCCAGCACCCCTGAAACCAGTGTTGTGAAAAAAATAACGGTATATATAAGCCCTGGTTTTGTCCACCTGTTTGTTCTCAATCAAGGATGGAATCTTGGTAGATCGATACGGGAAGGAAATCACATTCTGTGCTGGAATTGGCATAGTGGTGCTACCGTCACATATCGGATAGAGGCACATGTCTATATTAGGCGCATGCTCTTTCAAACTAAGCACTGCGCTTACAATATATCCGCACCTGGATTATAAGCGCTGGATAGAATATAGAGTTCTTTGATTTAAGCGTACATTTCTTTGTTCCCAACAGAATCATATGCCACTGTATGCGATGCCGAAGTCTGTTTGTGGATGTGGCTGTTCCGGGTCACAGTAATGAGGCGGCGTGTAAAGAGGCATCGGGTGTAGAGAATACATAGCGGCGGTTCGCGAAAATCCCGAGACTGGCAGAACAAAGGAGTTGCACGACGACAGCAGGAGCCACTCAGCCACCATCTCTCGGCAGCCGTGCTCTGCCTCCTCCCTCTCCTGCTCCTTGCCCTTGCTGCCGAACGCCTGTGAGTGACGAGGCACGAAATCCGTCTCGAGTATCTGCAGCAGTTATGGGGAACACACGGGTGGGTTATGCAGGGTGGAGTGGAGAGGTGGGATATGTATGGGTGGGTTATGGGGAGTGGAGAGGTGGGATATGCATGGGTGGATTATGGGGAGTGGAGAGGTGGGATATGCATGGGTGGGTTATGGGGAGTGGAGAGGTGGGATATGCACGGGTGGGTTATGGGGAGTGGAGAGGTGGGATATGCATGGGTGGGTTATGGGGAGTGGAGAGGTGGGATATGCATGGGTGGGTTATGGGGAGTGGAGAGGTGGGATATGCATGGGTGGGTTATGGGGAGTGGAGAGGTGGGATATGCACGGGTGGGTTATGGGGAGTGGAGAGGTGGGATATGCATGGGTGGGTTATGGGGAGTGGAGAGGTGGGATATGCATGGGTGGGTTATGGGGAGTGGAGAGGTGGGATATGCATGGGTGGGTTATGGGGAGTGGAGAGGTGGGATCTGCATGGGTGGGTTATGGGGAGTGGAGAGGTGGGATATGCATGGGTGGGTTATGGGGAGTGGAGAGGTGGGATAAGCATGGGTGGGTAATGGGGAGTGGAGAGTAGGAACGAGGAGGTAGATGGATGGGTGATTGCTGAGGAGGTTGCACTCAAGCTACAGCCAATCACAAATAAAAGTTGAGAGTAGGGGTCCTATTAGATGCACTGGTAAGAGTTGTTTAAAATATTCGACGAGAGAAAGAGAGAGTAAGAAGAACATACCTGTTCTAGCCATTTTTCTTAAGATGCCCAGGAACCTCCTACAACAAGAATCGGCAAAGAGATGGGTACTCAGTCGCAAACTCTGAAAAATAGGGCACAGGTATTCACCTTGCCAGGAAAGCGGGAGCGGATGGCCGTCTTTAAGTCAATCGAGTTGGTGATGAGCATCCAGCGTACAGTGAGAGGCGGGGGATACCACATGTCCTCCACTGCCTGGCGGAGTACAAGGCGGTGAGAAAGGGAGGGTGGAGGGGGTGGGGATGGGGAAGGAAGGAGTGGTTTGAGATGATGGGGATGATGGTGAGATGATAGGCATCCAGCGCACAGTGAGAGGCGGGGGATACCACATGTCCTCCACTGCCTGGCGAGGAGAAGAGAGGAGGGTGGGATGGAGTGGGGAGAAATGGTGTTGTAGTGCTGCGACGACGATATGATGAGCATCCAAAGCACAGTGAGAGGCGGGGGTACTGCATTTCCTCCACTGCCTGAAAGGATGGGGGAGGACAGGGAGAGGGGGTAGGGAGGAAGAGTTAGGGGGAGAGGTGAGAAGCAGGGAACACCACATGTCCACTACTGCCTGGGGGACGGAGGAGGAGAGGGAGAGGGGGAGGGGAGGAAGAGTTAGGAAGGGACGTGGGGATATGTTTGAGTGAGAGGCGGGGAATACCACATGTCCTCTACTGCCTGGCGGGGACAATGGGGGAGGGGGTTGAGATGATGGTGGGATGATGGTGGGATGATGGTGGGATGATGGTGGGATGATGGTGGGATGATGGTGGACGATGGCGAGACGATGTGAGATGAGTGATGTGCATTCTTGAGGCGGGGGAAACCACGTGTCCCCCACATGTGGCGCAGGCGGGATACCCCTCCTCAACTGCCTGGTGTGGTGGGGGCGCAGGGTGGAGGAGGGGGGCTGGAGGGAGGAGGGGGGAGGGTGGGAGGAGGGAGGGATGGAGGGAGAAGGAAGGGATGGAGGGAGGAGGGGGGAATGGAGGGAGAAGGGGGGGATGAAGGGAGGAGGGGGAAGGGATGTAGGGAGGAGGGGGAAGGGATGTAGGGAGGAGGGGGAAGGGATGTAGGGAGGAGGGGGAAGGGATGTAGGGAGGAGGGGGAAGGGATGTAGGGAGGAGGGGGAAGGGATGTAGGGAGGAGTGGAGTCGGAGTCCCTTGCTGCCTTACCCTCACCACTCCCTGCCTTGCCCTCACCACTCCCTGCCTTGGCCTCACCACTCCCTGCCTTGCCCTCACCACTCCCTGCCTTGCCCTCACCACTCCCTGCCTTGCCCTCACCACTCCCTGCCTTGGCCTCGTCACTCCCTGCCTTGGCCTCACCACTCCCTGCCTTGCCCTCACCACTCCCTGCCTTGCCCTCACCACTCCCTGCCTTGGCCTCTTCACTCCCTGCCTTGGCCTCGTCACTCCCTGCCTTGGCCTCACCACTCCCTGCCTTGGCCTCGTCACTCCCTGCCTTGGCCTCACCACTCCCTGCCTTGGCCTCGTCACTCCCTGCCTTGCCCTCACACAATCCCGCATTCCCTTGCCTCTGTGGCCCTGAGTCAAAGTCGTTCTTTTCCTCTCTTGGGGTCTTTCTTCCCCTGACTCACCTTGGCACACAAGTGAGGATGGGAGCAGCGTGGGTCATGGATGGGCACAGCAAAGGAGGCGGCAGTGACGCTGGTGGTGGTGATACTGCAGCCTAGCCTAGTGACACACACTGCAGGTGAGTATTCAGGCGACACGCCACAGAAGAAGGCTCGCCTTGGCGCAGGCGAGGATGGGAGCAGCGTGCTCCATGGCAGCAGGCAGCCATGGAGGCGGGAGTGACGCTGCTGGTGGTGGCTTGGGGGTCATCACTCCCTGCCTCTCTGTTCCTGGTTCCAAGTCACAATTTCCTCGTTTAAGGTCTTTCTTCCCCTCACTCACCTTGGCACAGGCCAGAATGGGAGCAGGCTCTTCCAAGGCAGCAGTCATGGAGGTGGGAGTGACGCTGCTGGTGGTGGCGTGGGTGGGGGTCTCGCACCTCACTGTCGCTCAGCTGTGAGTCGAGTCAATCTCTAAGGCGATTTCCCTCCCCTGATCCTGTCTCACCTTGGCACACGCGAGAATGGGAGCAGCCGCCTCCAAGGCAGCAGTCATGGAGGTGGGAGTGACTCTGGTGGTGGTGGCTTGGGTGGGGGTCTCGCACCTCACTGTCGCTCAGGCTTTTGCAAGTGATGAATCAGGCGATAGACCTCAGAGACTCACTCACCTTGGCACAGGCCAATATAGGAGCAGCTTTCTCCATAGCAGCAGACATGGAAGCGGCAGTGACGCTGGTGGTGGTGGCGGGGGGGTCGCGCACCTCACTGTCGCCCAGCCGTGAGTCGATCCCTAGGGCGATTTCCCTCCCCTGATCCTATCTCACCTTGGCACAGGCGAGGATGGGAGCGGCCTGCTTCATAGCAGCAGCCATGGAGGCGGCAGTGACACTCTTGCTGGTGGCGTGCGGGTCTCGCACCACACTGTCGCTCAGCCGCACGTGCACCCCCACCACCACCGTCCGCACCTCCCGCATCTCCTGAAGTAGACGTGCCGTCAGCGGCCATACCTCCTTCCTTGGTCTGGAATCAGGGGTGAGAGGCGGTTGATAGGTGGGGGAGGGGGGGGAAAGGAGGAGAAGGAGAGGAGGGGAAAGACGGGGAAAAGGCGAAGTCATGTAATTGCTCAGCCGCATGTGCACCCCCACCACCACCGTCCGCACCTCCCGCACCTCCTGCAGCAGCCTCGCCACCAGTGGCCATATTTCCTGTCTGAGTCTGGAAGTTGAGAGGGGGAGGGAAAGAGGAGAGGAAGGGAGGAATCAGAGTGCATCTGATTGACATGCACGTAACTAGCAATGGGGTGTACGTGTATCTGACAGGCTGACAAGAAACCAGAAAAAACACCTCCATTCATTCCATTGCAAAGCATCTTAAATGCAGACGGAGAACATACCTGACAAGGAATCGGAGAGTGCATCTCAATCAGTTAAACCCATTACGAAGCATCTCAATGCAATGCAGAACGTACCTGACAAGGAATCGCAGAATGCAGCCGAAGGCGTACGGTGGGCGCAGCCCCGTCGCCCTGAACGCATCGGCCCACTCGCCCGTCCCCTTTGTAAGCATCTCCGTTACCATCCGCGGTTCCACAGCACCTTCACATGCCGAAACGCCTTGAACCTCTCCAACCCCTGCAAACCCATCCGATTCCCATTCAAATCCAGAAACGGAATCACCCCCGGCGGAAACGACTCGTTCAAATTCCTCGTGCGACGAGAAGGCTCCATGGGAACACCAGGGGACAGGCGCCAGTCGATGAATGCGGGCTCAAACGCGTACTGTATGCAGTCGTGCCAGATCACAAACGCCCGGCGGTCCAAGAGCGCAGCGACGAACGAGGAGACGAGCCCCACTAGAAAGTCCCCGAAGCCGCCGCAGTGCCCGGCTTGGTCGAACGTGAGAAAGCGAATGGAGGAATCTGGGAGGGTCCGGTTTGACAGGTTTGGGTCTGGAACTGCTGCGGCTGCGGCTGTTGGTGCGAGAGAGAGCAATCGGCGGGAGGAGGGAGGGGGAGGGGGAGAGGGAGGGGGGGTGTAGGCGGCGGCGCTGGCTGTGCGAATGGCGGAGTGCAGGCGGAGGTAGTCGTCCCGCCATGCCGTGCCACAGAGCGAGTCCGAATACTCAAAGTCCACGTGGGCCGGGGACGAATCTGTACTCGCTATAGTCAGACGCGACTGAAGCACCTGCGAGGAAGCAGGGGAAGCAGGGGAAGAAGGGGAGGGAGGGAGGGACGGAGAGCGAGGGAGGAAGGAGGGGGTTTGTCGACAAGGAGGATGGAGGAGGAGAGAAGCACTGGCGATGGCGGAGTGCAGGCGGATGTAGTCGTCCCTCACTATAGTCACACGCGACTGGAGCACCTGGGTGGGAGGAGAGGAGGGTCGGAAGGGATTCGGTTGAGGGATTGAGGGCTGGATGGCGGGGACGAACCATGTGTGAGACGGAAACGCGGGGAAGGAAGAGAGCAGGGAGCAGTGCGTAGAGCGTCAGGCTTACGGCAGGGTCACACACGGTTTAGCAACAACCATGCGTTGAGCGGCATCCCACAGACTTCTGTTGAGCGACAAAGCGACAGCGGATGGAGGGACTGGACTACCACGGAAGAGTAAAAAAGGCGAGAATGGGGATGGGAATCTGGGGACGAAGAGCATACAGGGGAAAGCGCCAGCATCAGTGCTGCTGCCGCCAGTTCTGCTAGCGATCTACTGCGAGAACTCGGCGCCATCGTGGTAAGAGATCTCGCAGTACTTCAGCAATGAGAGAACTTCGCCGGTTGCGAAGCTGATCGCCAGTCGAGAAGCTGATCGCTATCACCCGCGGCGCTGACCTGACTGGCTAGTTCTGCTAAACTACTTTGTCATCTCAACTTGAAAAGGCGGAAACTGCGAGGAAGCGAAAGGAGATGGAAAAAACCAGACTGTGAAACAGACATGCACCAGGTAACACGTCTCACAGCTAGGTATGCGAAGAGTTACGGTCACCAACGGAGCTCCTTGAATCAGAACCGTTGCAACACTTCTGTGCAGAGAAGACGATTGACAACCCGGGTTCGGAAGCGGAGCTCTGTCAGCAGGACGACGCGAGCTACGAGAACACCAGCCAGGTGCCACACTCCTTGAGACGATTCCGTTGAAAGGAGAAAAGAGGCCTCAGTGCGACAAACTCCCGCACAAGGGGGATCGATCAAAGAGCTCGCGGGAGGAGGATCTCACGCATCTGAGGCGATGGATGGGGCAGACAGGAGCGAGAGAGAAGTTGGCGCGGTGGTGGTACAGGACGAACTGAATTGTCGTATTGGCGTGGAGCGGGAGCGGGACGCTTCGCTCCGCCGCCAAGCGTGGAAATGGTCAACTCTGGATGGGAGATGTGAGATGCCAATGCGACGCGATGACATCGAGACAAGACGATGGAAATGGTAAAATGGATGGCAGGGCTCGGCGTGGGGAGTCCCTCGCTGGGTTCGGCGCCGAAAAGGTGCTCGCGCGCGGGAATCCCGACGGTGGTTGCATCGCTAGGCGACGTTGGAAGTACACACGGTGACACGGGCGCCGACGGTTGGAGGCCCATTCCGTTGGCGTATAACCCAGCGGAAGGGGTGCCATGGACACCAGCGGTTGGAGAGGCAAGCTAAGTGGTTCACTTTGCCACACAGGCCGACGAGTGTGATGTCAAGAGGAAGCAGAAGCCCCTATTTTGGGGTTTCCGTCAGGGTACACTTGATGCCCAACTTATGGCGAAAGGCCACGGAAAAGGTGTTTTCCTTTCACTTATCCACCAGCCCAGCACAGATTGTAACGAGTACAGACGTGACAGTGGAATCATCTGCGAAAGTGTATCGCGTGGAAGCCTCGATCAGCTTTCTGCGACAGTGGGAATTGACGTCTGCCGTGCCGTGCAGAGCCGACGCAGGAAAGTTGAGATTGGCGGAGCGAGACCAATCAGAGCACATTGCCACGCCACACTCAGACTGATTTTTCGCCATGTCACTGTCACCGAGCAACTGACAGGATTCACAGAGCCGAAAATGACCTCCCGCAAAGGCTCTGTGCACCCTTCGCTGACCTTCGTCGGTTGCTTCCGACGACACGGACAGTCTCGACGATGACGACCAGTGTGGGGTCAACCGAGACAAACAGCACGAATCGCTGATTGGCAGGAGGCGTAGCCTGCAATTCGCCCAACCACGACGACTGTCTTGGCATTCGCGGACGGGGAAAGGGAAGGCGCGAGCGTGAGCCAGAAGCAACCAGAAGCGTCGCAATCTGCGAGTGAGTCGAGGCGGTTCGTTCTGGAAAACTCGGGAATTCTCGCCGTCACGCTCACGCCAGTCTCATGATGGCTGTTCTATAAATATGCAGCAATTCGGAACTAAGCACAACCATTGGTATCCCAAATCCGCATCTGGTTGATTCATAGCATTCGCAGCTCGAACTCACAGTACGAAGTCATCTGCGGCATCTTACTGTTATTTACAATCGCGACTGGACTTCCAAATATTGGGCACCGTAGTCGCTATCTCCCGCTTCCTTTTAAGCAGCTCTTTTATACGATAAGCCATAATGGCCTACTACTCTCTTCAAGCACCGACAAGCCACAGCAGCGTGCGTGAAACTCGCAAGTCTCATACCGTAAGGTCGCAGAGGAAGCAGCAACAGCAGTCCGACGCCTCGTCGCAGCCTGAAGCGCAGATGCGATGGGTCGACCAAGCCCAGGATCTCTGCTCATCGCCCATGTCACCGACGTCGCCGTTGTCGCCGTCGTCGCATGATCAAGTCCTCCCGTTCCAAACAGCCCGCCTCGAATCATTCTTTTCGTTAGACGCTCACGTCTTAGGATCTGGTCAATTCGGGACAGTGCGACGCTGCACCGAACGGCTCACAGGCGCGCGCTTCGCGTGCAAGACAATCACCAAGGACAGGCTTACAAGCGAGGCGGAGCGGGAGGAGGTGCGGCGGGAAGTTGCTCTGATGCAGCGGGTTGGCGCAAGCGGAGCGGGGGAGGCGCAGGGGGTGGCGCATCCCGGGGTGGTACAGTTGCGCGGAGTTTTCGAGGACGAGCAATCGGTGCATTTGGTCATGGATCTTTGCGAAGGCGGCGAGCTGTTCGACGAAGTCGTGCGACGCGGGCGACTGAGCGAACCCGACGCTGCGAACGTGTTCGCGCAGGTCGCATCGGCCGTCGCACACTGCCACGCGCGAGGCGTCCTCCACCGCGATCTCAAGCCCGAAAACATCCTGCTCACGCGCGACGCCTCTGCACCGCTCTCCACCGCACCACTAACCACGAAACTCGCGGATTTCGGCCTCGCAGTTCCCCTGCAATCAGGCGATCGCGCGATGGGCGTCGCAGGATCACCGTTCTACATGGCTCCTGAGGTCCTCCTAGGCGAATACGCGTTAGAAGCCGACGTATGGTCTCTGGGCGTGATCCTGTACATCTTGCTCTGCGGCGCGCCGCCTTTCTGGGGCCCGACGGATAAGGACGTGTTTGTAGAAGTTCTTAAAGGCGTGGTGGATTTTAGTGGCGAGGAGTGGGCGGGAGTGTCGGAGGAAGCCAAGCGGATCGTGCTGTGCCTCCTGCAGAGGGACCCCAAGCGACGCCCCGCTGCCGTGAAAATCCTCTCCCATCCCTGGATCCTCCAGCATTGCCACGCCAGCGTGGCAGGTTCGGAGACAGGCTCAGCTTCAGGTTCGGGTTACCCGTTGGCTCTGGGTGCAGGCTCGGATTTGAGGGCAGGCGTGGAGGCACCTGCTGCCATGGTGGTGTGAGATCAGATGTGACAACCTAATTTATTCTTGTAGCTACTTCAGGTGTGCGTTTGTTGCCGGAATTCCTCACCTCACTTGGCCCGGCAATCACCCTAAGCATGCTTGCTTGCTATGCATGCTAGTGTACAACGTTGGTTTGGTGGCTTGTATAATCAGGCTTGTTGAGTTACTTGCTTAGCTGGTGCTGCTAGCTCTGACTACGATGTTTTCTGGTACGGAAATTGTATTTTGACTAAAATGGGTTATGCAAGTTCAGAGGCCTACCCATCTCTCACAAGGACACACTCGGGAAGTATAAAGGGCATAAAAAACTTATCTTCTGAAAGCTTGTTGTAAGGCGATCATGTTGTATCTCGCAATCAATATCGAGGATAGACCGAAATGACTGGCACAGTCCTACCTCCCTCCCTCCTGTCCTCCTTCCCGTTGTCGTTCTTCCACCCAAGCGATTCGGCGTGTACAAGTTTGGATGACCTGACAACGAGCAGTGTACGGAGGGAACATGTGTTTCTCAAATCATGTGCGAAAACTCTGCCACGCTGGACTATTCCGTGCACTTTTCATGTCCACGCGGCATCCCAGGCACACGACCCTAGTCAGATGCTTCCCTCACGAAATCGAAGGTGTTTCGTGAAAGCGCGTGCCTATATTCCCGGCTGTATTCATCCGCGTCACGATACTGTACTGTAACTGTACCTGTACGTGCACCGCAGTTCAGGCGGGTTGGCCATGGCAAACCCTAGCAGCGGCGATCGACGGGCGTGTGGCACACAAGGAAACGCAGGTTTTCGCAGACGCGGCAAAAATGATCCGAAACGAAATAAGAGAGACAGTGCGCCGCGCCACTCCCCGCCGTGCTTCGCCGTCCAAAGGGTTTGCAGATCGTAGTAACCTGTTCGGGTCGGGACGGTACCGACTTCAATCATGTTAGTACCGTTATCTGCACGGCGTCGTCCAATGTCAGCCTACGCATGTTTGTACCGCGCGACACGAGAGCTTACTATCAGAAAAAAGTGCTTCCGGCAGAGCCTTAGGCTTAGTAACAGACTGATCTACACTGCCGCTAAAAAATATGGTCCCTATTTGGTCTGTTAGCCCTTCGCTCCCGCTCCTAGTACTCCTCCTCCTCATAGATTCCTCGTCCCCTCCCCACAGGCCTTTCTCAGCCACCCGCGCCGCTACCATCGGTGCGCAGTTACCACCTGCCTCAGTTCCGCCCGTGACCAGGAACCGCGACTCGAACAGGACCAGTGTCTACACTCCGCTGCCCCGCGCGTGGCACCCGCCGTTGATCCTCTCCTTTACCCATGAAGCAGTGCAGTCGCCGTGTCAGCGCCACGTCTTCGGGCGGACGGGGCGGCCCGTAGAAGCGGCGAAAGTTTTTCCGCAGTCTGCGGTTGGGGGGGCGCCGGAGTCAGCCGCGCGCGGGCGCTCCCCGCCAGCGGCGCCGACGAGGGCGAGTGCGACGCAGAGTGGATGCTGCTGTGGCCGGCGCGACAGGGATGCTGGCGGCCGCATCCCAAAATGTGTGAGGTCAGGGTGGCATGTTTTTTAGGGCTTGCGAGAGAGTAACTTTCAAGAACTTACCTGCAGGTGGCTTTTCTGGGTTCGCGGCTCGGGATTCGACCGGCTGCATCGTCATGGAAGTTTCGATGCGACCCTGCGAGCGATTCTATTGGTTGAAAATTTTCGAACTAGTTTGTGAAACTTCCTCGACACCATTCACGCGATTTTCATTGGTCCTTCGATTCGAACTAACTCCTCTGTAAGAGTCGGTTTGAAATACATCTTCCAAGAAGCAGCGGGTGGCGAAGGTTTGGCGCTAAGCCAGACCAACTTGACCCGCACAAGAGCATTTCCGTTCCAGTGCACATTGAATGTATTGTTATGAAGAGTTTGAGGTTATGAGCCTTAAAACCAGGGTACACATTCAACGCGACTCCAGGCTAAATTTTGG